CTACTGCCATCTTCGTTAACGCATCGTCCAGTTCTCAGCTCTTTTTCCATTTCTTCACCAGGACAGGTTGTTCCTCCGTCTTTCGCGACGTCACCAATTTCTCCGGCTCAGGTGAGAAACACATATTCGTATTAACATTGCGCCGTTTAGGATATATTTATCCCCTCCTTTCATCTGTTCTGGGACGCAAATCATTTTTTAGATGCAAATATAAATTCTATAATATATACTATACATTATACTTCCACGTGATTTCTGTGCGGTTGGTCTCTACGTGACATACTTAGTGGAAACCTCATAGAAAGCGGCTCTGAAGAAGGCGAAATCCGCCGAAATGTCAGCTTAATCGTGAACAAAGAATAGTAACACCTCGCGTTTGCTCAACAAAAATACGAAGAAAATCACTTGATCAATGCCGAGGTTAATAGAAAGTCGGTCGTGGCAGTTAAATTCTATAACCTGCCGCGAACACATGGCTGAGATGGGTTAATAATCGTATCAGATTTTCACCTTTTTTTTTGCAAAAGCTCATTCGCGCCTCACCATTACGGGATGTGTTTTTCACGTGTCAAACTGCAGTGCACAGCATGGAGCCCATCATCGTGCAGAATAATCAAGCTAAGATGAAGCATGGTGTCATCGACTCAGTTGCCGACGAACGTTCATAGTGTCACACCGACCAACGCGCCTGGAACTTGCTGTAAAGATTATGCCTTTATGCCTTACGCTGTTTTTACGTTACCAGAATAGTTTCATGTGATGCTACGTTCCTGTAGAGGCCAGCAAACACATCAGACTGTTTTCTTCGAGAGAAGCAAGGGCGAATAGATCAACACACTTGCTTAACTAAGTGGAATCAAATTTTGAAATATTGATGGTATAAGCTATTTCGTATCCATATCTAACATGTACTACGATGAATTTTGCGATCAACTGGACTGGGCATTCTTTACATTCAACGTCGACGTCAAAAGACGATTGATACCATCAACAGTTGAGTGTTTGTTGGCGAGTGGGGTGTTCTATGATTAGTTGAAAGAGTAGGAAAGGATAAAAGGATAAAGCGTTTATCGTTTACCAATCAGCTGGAGATGCGTCGTGCTTAAACTGCATCGTGGAGATTACTGAATGCATAACCCACTTATACAAGGCTATTTAGTGGCTGACGATCTACCGACTCAGTGCTAATATCCTGTCAGACAGTTGTGGTACGAATGTGCTGATGCGAGTGGTGGAGTGCTTAGTGAGCCGGGTGCGCGATATCAGCCAACGACCGACAAATGTGTATTATAGACGCGCATAAGTACTGCGCTACACGTGCTGTTTATACAATTTTTATCTAGTACAACTCGTGCTCTCGTCTTGTCTGGGAATGCCAGCGCTCTTTGTATTCGACTCGTTTTCTTGCATTCATGATTTATGAGGGCTCTCGGAATTTTTACCTATAGGTTCCATTGTTGCTTAAGAATTGTGTTCCTTATGAACGTCGCTGAATGCTGTTCGACTCAATTCTTCCTGGAGTCTTGAGATAAGCACACTAGAGTGTTCCCATCTAGTCTGCAGTGAACTGTTGCCAGACGACACTGGTGCCAATTTCTCGACCTCGAAAGGATAAGGTGCTTGGTGAGCCCGAGACGGTGTCGTCGAACTAGAACCGTGCTCCTGATTAATGGCATCGCTACCACTATGTTACCCGTTTCCTTCCTTGCCCTTTAGAAGGGAGTAATACAAAGGAAAATTTCGTAAGCTTGTTTTGCGAGAGTTTAGCGCAAAGAAGGCCAATAAAAAATGATACAGGAATGGTAAACGTGGAACAACAGAAGGAAATGAAGGAATAGATCATTTTTAGACTTGTAAATACAGTAAACCTGTGCCACTAGGTTCCATTGTTCGTGAAGGAGGAAATCATCGTTGAACATGGAAATCGCTGAGTGACACCTCCTTGCGAAGGTGGATTACGAGGCCGAAAAGAACCCTCGTCATCGCTTGGTAGAGGAGACTCATGTTGTGCATTCTGACCAGATTTTGAGCTAAAGATTTTTCAAAGTCACTGACAATCGAGGGAAACCCGAAAGAAGACTATGAACACGTCAACAGGCTCTGAAATTAATTCTGATACGCTCCATCTTTTTAATTTTGAAGATGAGATCGCATAAGAAGAGAAGCCAACTCAGCTATGAAAGACCTTCGCAGGAGGATTTTCAACGGTACAGGCAGAGGAAAGGGGTGCTCAAGATAGAAGCATTGTAAAGAAATTAAAGGATGCGCAGCTCTCCTGCTGAGGAAAATCACAGCCCTCTTCGTACTGCACGATATCTTTAAAGCGTACGAAACTGTTCTTCAAAAAGATAGGTTACCTAGCCACTGACAGTTATGCTACCTGGGAAGGTCACCACTGAGAGTTTCGCACATGAAGATCTCTGTCTTGCATATCAGCAACTTTAGATGAAACTAAAACATTCGAGAAGGAATACAGTAATGAAAGGCCAGTTGCAAAAAAATTTTCCGACAATCTCTAAATGAAGATCTTTCTGTCAACACTTGTTGAATATGAAGTGGAATAATGCCTTAAGAGAAAATCTAGGTAAATACAGTCACAGCTCGCGGATCTCCCTTATAGAGAGGTCTCATGCTGGTCAGGCGTGAGGCAGCGCTGAGGTGGCGGACAGGGTGTTAATCGCTGACCAAAAGCGACCTTTACTTCTCTGAAACAGATGGATCCAAGGGATGGAGTTCCTATTTCTGCTGCGCCCATATGACACATACGTTCTATATTTACGAAGACGTATTCATGGATACGTGCATTGGTGTCTTCTCGTTTATACGGGTTGTACTCTGCGAGTGAATTCGGCCAAAAGCCTGCAATCAAGTGACAAGTAAGCATATGGGGGCGGGTTAAAAGTCGCCTTCAATAAATAAGCTTTCCCAAACACTCTGGAAGAGGCTGGCAAGCTACCTAAGAGCGTACCCAGCTTTCACGTTCAGAGCTCAATAAGCTATACGTGGGTATGAAAAGTTACTTGATACTTGAAGGGCTCGTCCTCACTGGTTGTGCGGGCCCCAGCATAATCTCCATTTTTCGGAGATTTTCTGGTTGAGCTATTGTGGTTTTCTGGGATGTCGAGGTCAGCGTGGCAAAGGTCTGCCCCAGGTCTTCAGCACCACAGGCAGCTGCAACCCTCGTGGATCATGGGAGATTTGCCACCATGCGACTTTGATACCAGAGCCATGGTGGATTCTGATATTGGTTTGCTTTTAGCTGGGCTTTCTGATAGAAGGGCTGGACTCCTTCTCAGCTTAGGAGACCCTGCCAGGGGATGAATCTTCTGCTGCACATTGCAGTCCGACACCCAGGAACACTTCCCAGCCACGATGAGGCTGTAAACCATTAAGAGGATGAAAAAATTAAAAACGTGTCTCGAAAATGGAGTAGTCGTATAATGTCCAATGTTCACATTCCACACAAGTTTTGTCTGTGCGTGTTATATTTCAAAAAAACATCGTTCAGCCACTACATAGGTGGAGCACACAGTTTTCGACGTGATCGGATGGTTTGTCAGCCCGCGTCCTTGTTGCGTAACACAGCGTTCGGAAGATCGCTCGATCAAAAAACTGTGTAGAGTCAAAAAGTACTTTGTGTGGTCCCTTATGAAGCCCAGATCCATCCGACGCTGCTCTCCTTCTTTATAACTCCTCTTCCCATCTTGTCGTCCACGTTCATTGAACGCGCTTGGGACACGTAAGGCGTGGCTTCCGAAGTCAAAGAACTACCAAACTCTGTGGTTCTCTATCGAATTTTTCATGAACTATATATCCACCTAGTTTATTTGCAGTCTTAGAATTTTCTAGCTGTTGTTTCTACTTTGCACCTACTCCTTAAAATGTCATCGCCATTGCAATGTCATCGGCAAAATTAATGTATGACGGAAATTTCCCAGCAAATTATGTCGTAGTTTCCGTGTTATCTAGCGATTTCGTTATGAAACGCATTGTTATAGTGAGCAGATTCGTCGAGACCTTATCGTGCTCTAGAAGGCATTTCCTATTAGGGATGACATAGCAATGGTGGAACATCTCATTGTCGCTCAGCTGCGATAGTATCGCCTGTATTACCCGTCGTCCCATGGTTCCCGAGTGATTCGAGTGGGCGCCAGAAAAGCTTCCATTTTTCCATATTGCGCGCAAGAATAGCCCAGTGGGTTCTGCTTGCTCAAGGAACACTTTGAGGATCATACCTTCTTTAGGGATTTTGTGAATACTTCTGATCGTCGGGTTGGTGGTCTTCCTGCAGTATGTTTGATATCCCAGCGATTCAGCCGCTAACGGCCCTTGTCCATAGGATGTCGTTCATTCGCATAACGCGTCCGGCATAACTGGTCTCAGACAGCATGGCGAATAGAGCGGTATCTTTGAATTTTTATCGTTGACGCAAGTCGAAGCTTCTGATCCCTTCCCTCACTTGTGGTAATTGCGATACTTTTAGCATAGTTCTTTCGACTGCTCGTTTACTAACACTGAGTGGCCTTTCATCCCGTTCACGTAGCGACCAGGTTTCTGTCGCTTACGTTAAGGCAGGAAGCATCATTGTGTCGAAAAGGTGACCACGGATGTTCTTTGTTTTCTTCACTACGTTCTCGATGCTTTTGAAAGTTAACCAAGCCGCTGGTTCCTCCTGCTCAACTCTGAAGCTAAGTCGTTCATCATATTGATTTCGAGACCTTTGATAAACGTAACTGGAGCATTAGGAGAAAGTCAATTGTTGAGAGTGAATGGGGGATACGTAACCAATAGTCCGATCCCATGCGGAATTTCGGGAAATCAGCGACATCGGTTTGGCAAGACCTCCTGTTTACTATGATGTGGCAATTTCGTTATGGTACTCTCCATTGGGAGACTCCATGTCCAGCGTTAAGGGCGGGGCTTCTGGAATTGCGAGTTACCATGGATTGTCGGTCGCCATGATAAACTCACTCTGTTCGTTCCATTCTAATCCATGGGTCTCAATGTGACGTTCTTCTTGGTTCAATCTTGGCGTTGAAATCTCCAATGATGACCTTGAAGAATGTGTGGTCTTCTCTGTAGAACTTCTCCGAGCCCATATAGAACACTTCGACTTCTTCTTCCTCATAGTTTGATGTCGGTGCGTAAACGACGAAGACAGTTAAAAGCGGTACTGATCTACATCTTTTTAATCGTAGACGTCCGATTCGGGTTGTAAGGTGTTTGAATGAATCGATGCTCATGGGCATACTCGTATTGACGAGAACGCCGACGCCGACGACTCCTCTACTGTCGCATTTTTCGAGGAGCATCGTACCTTATGGTTCTTGCCTGCATGATCAAGTCTTCTGCCGAGGACCCAGATGCAAGCGTGCGTGCATTGTAGGTACAGATTGTCACCTTAATCCTCTGCGATTTAGGCAGGCTGAAGTGGTCCTGAGATTTTAGCAGCCTCTCCGCATTCATCCTACCAAACGCTGCCGCATCGAGGGCTTCTTTTGGGGTTTCAGCTGAATGAGGGTCGTTTATTCTACTCTGTTTAACTTTTTCGTATCCACGTACAGCTTGCTGAGCTTTGATCGTGAGAGCTGGGTATACTCACAAGTAGCTCGCAGCCTCTTCCAGAGTGGTCGAGAAAGCTTACTTGTTGAAGGTGACTTCTAACCCGCTCCCATATACTTACGTGTTACTTGATTGCAGGGTTTTGGCCGAATTCACTCGCAGAGTACAACCCGTATAAACGAGAAGATACCCATGCACGTATTCATGAATACGTCGCCGTAAATATAGAACGTATTATATCATCGCAGCAGAAATAGCTAGTCCATCCCGTGGATCCACCTGCGTCTCAGAGAAGCAAAGGTCGATTTTGGTCTGCGACTAACCCTCTGTCATTCATTCGGGGACGCGCTGCGTTGCCACGCTACTAACCAGCATGAGATCTCTCTATCAGGGAGATCCATGGGTGATGGACTCATAGAGGTTGCACTCGTCTCCTTTTACGACCAAACTGCAATATAAGCAGATAAGCGGACTTCTTTGTAACACTCGTCATTCCCTCTCGTTCGCGGCTGATAAACAATTCATGGATCACAGTGTGGCACTCAGAGGCATTCTACATAGAGCAAACCATTAGAAACGTGAGAAATGTGCTAGGTTCAGTTTGTCTGTAAGGTAATAAAGACAATACAAGTAATTATTTATTCGTGTTTACACAGAATAAGTTTGGAGGATTAGTTTAATGAAAAATTGTTATTCAGGTGTCCTCGAATCAGCATTTGGATTCCGGTCAAGCATTTCGTGACCAGCCGTCAGTGTTCTCAATTACATCTACAAACAACAATTTGCGAATATCTCCGACTGTTTCACGCAATCAGACAACGTTACCAAATCCAGTCTCAGCGGTCACGAAGGCATTGCCTTCTATGCAAGTAATATATGATGTTCAATAGAAATTTTCAGTTCGAAATACCATTTGGACAGACTTTTTAGGTTGCTCGTGAGCAGTAAGTGTGTCGTAACGAACAGCAGGTATAAAAAATATGAATACTTGGGTGCCATGGGAAATACTTCTTGGATACTTCGATGGCCCGTCTTCACTAGTTATGCGGACCCCAGTATAATTTCCATTCCCAGGAGATTTGCTGGTCTAGTCATTGTGTTTACCTGGAGTCCCAAGATTAGGCCTGACCAAAGGCTGCCTCAGGTCGTCACCACCACAGGTAGCTGTCGCCATTGTGGTGCAAAGGGAGATTTGCCACCATGCGACTAGTTTCATACCAGGACGGCAGTGGATCTTGCTATTGGTTTGCTCTTACTTAGTTAGACTTCCTGATGGATACACTGGCCTCCTTCTCAACTTAGGAGACCCTGCTGAGGGGAGATGAATCCCTCCGCTGTACATCGCAGCCCAACACGCGAGCACGTCTCAGCCGCAATAAGCCGGTAAACCGTTGGTAGGAAAAATGAGAATGGAATAATTTCAATGAAGAGTGAAAAAACAGCACCTAATGCCATATTTAATTTCAATGTATTCGGAGTGCTCGATTCAGACCTGAGCTGCTGCCAGCGTAAAGCAGTTGTGAATATTCAAAGCTCGCCTAAATCAGCTCAACCGTTCGTGGTTTCTTTAATTATCGAATTATTCAAGCAAGTATTATTGAGGCCGGTTTATTCCCGTCTTGCATAAGAATCCCGCATGGAAAACGAAGATCACCAAATTTTGGTGCGCCGTCCTTTTTTAAATTGGCTCGCACTGAGAAAGCTGCCATGGGAAATCTACCGCTGCTAGTATTCTTTTACTTTTATTTGAGCCCCATATGGAAGTGTCGAGGTCATACTCATCTTAGCAAGCACCACTGTATTATGAACGATCAACTGTACATAGCACTTCGTCATCCGCCCCACAATCATCTTCAGTTTTGTCGATGAGGAAACAGAGAAATCAGATCTGCATAAACAATAATTTATTAAAATTAAGTACCAAGAACAAAACGATGTTTTTCTTAGGAAAGCATTTCTAGGAGATCTTATGACAACAGGAATCATACAATAATCTTTCAGAATTTTCTTGCCACTTTGAAACGACAGCCAGTTTTTGACGGGCAATTGAAATATTTGGTAAAAGTAAGAGGTTAAATTATTTGTCATTTTTTTCCATCTCTACGAAAATTACCAGCTATGTTAATAGAGCGCAACTAAGTCGGAAAGACTCTTGATAATTGGGCCCCAATAATTGCTTTTGTTGTACTCATCACTCACGAAGGTGTTCGGATTAGCCAATGCGTCCAGCTGCCACCTGAGAGCTTCGTGTTCTTCATGAATGCCGTTCAGCAGCTGCCGAGTAGATTTTTCCTAGAATCCTGCAATAGCTCTACCAAAGCGATCCTTGATCTTCTATACCAACATTCGCCTGCCTTTGTGGAGAGGCAATCTTGGTGCGAAATCTATCTACCCTTTAGAGATTGTCCGAAGGTGGGTCAAAGAAGCGACCATACGCATATAGAACGGGATCTCTAACCACTGCGCTTCCCACTCTCAGTTGTGGTTGGAAAATGATCAAATTTCCATTTGTATTGCTTTTGGACTTTCTTAGAGATAAATCTATTCAAGAACTACAAAATACTTGCGATGTCCATCTATTTATGTGAAAGTTTTACAGAAATTCGGATTAGATCGTATGTCCGATGAACAAGGTGTCGTTCAGCGCTACGGAATGATTCAACGCGTGCTCGACGCCCTTCAACACATCAAGCCATCCGTCGTCGATCAACAACCGATTGCATCAGTGAACAGTAAGGTGAGCTGGAAGAAAGAAGCGCTGATGATTAACTTAACGGTTTATCAGCTGAATAACATGAAAGTGAATAGCATGAAAGATTATGACAAATGGTAAGTGATAGACATTTTGTTTTCAATTTCATTCAAAATTGAGCCCAACGTTTCCGTCGGCTTGCAAACTTCATAATTTTAATATCCATCCGTCTTTCTAATAATCTCTTGACAGCTGAAGTGCCTGGCTCTGAAAACTTGTGTTGTCGTTTTCTTCGCATAAGGACTACTTTGTTTTTGTTTTTATTTTGTATTCATTGTGGGCTATATAGAATGAAGGTCTCATGGCTTGGCAAAAAAAACTTGGACATTCTAGGCTTTCCTGTGCAAGCTGCGCTCATATTTGCAGCAGGTAAACCCAACTGTCAACTAAACCCACCAAACAATATGAATAGGTTATCTATGTGCCAAGACAACTCCCAATTTATCACATGATAGAAACCCTAATTCGCCACCTCGGAGTGCACCCATAATAGCCTTGTCACCGGTTTAAGATTCCCCATACGCGGAGATTTCTGGACTGCGTACAGGATAGATGTTATGCTCAGCATCTTCAATTTTGGCGGTTTTCAGGGTGGTGGTAGTGACGTGCTACCTGAAGAGCTTTCCAAATTCGCGTCATCGATACTTCCATCCTCCCGAGCAATCAGTGGTGCTCTGACCAGCAAAATTTCACAATTTCTAGCGTAAGTTCAGTTAATGCCGACTTATTGGAAATTTTTGAAAGGCGATGTGGTGTTGTATACGATGGGATTACCCTTACCCACAAAAAATTTCTGCTGAACACATTTAGATGGTGTCTGTACATTCTTAATCGTAAAGTCTAAGCGTAAGAGCATTCGTGCTCAATCACATACAAATTAGGGAACCCGATTAGCCAACTGTTAAGCGGTTTTAACCCCATCGAATCCAGTGATGTCATGACATCTACTTGTCCTTTACCAAAAATTAATTTTTAAGAGACTGCGAAAAATGTTTTACAGACCGCCACGAAATTACGGTGACGATTCGAAACCGTTTTCAAGAAACAACATGGATTTCATTATTCAAAACGCGTACAAGGCGTATGTGAGCCAAGGGAAACCGTGAGCCTCCCAGAAATCGTACATATTATCGGTATTATATTGTACATACAAGTGCACTGAGGAGCTTTTCAACCGCACTTTTTGTATTATATTTTTATTATTTATTGATCTGTTCCTGTGAGCATGTGGGCTCCTAGAACCATTGGATATATGCAACCCAATAGTGATTGCCCTGATCTCCGTCCGCCTTCCATTTGTAGATTATAAACTTTCTCCATTTTGTGGAACTTACTTCTTTGGTATTAATCTGACCCTTTCGTTCTTGAAAAATGAATTAAACTCAGAACTTCATCGTTACGAATACAACGCATGATTTCCATACCTGTTTATAGCTCTGTAGAACTGTTTGTTCTTTCGATTCATATTCTTTTAATGTCCAACTGCTCGAATGCTGAGGTGTTTCACGTTCACATGTCGTGCGTAGCCCGGCACTTCCTTCACTCGTCTCGTTGTTTTGCAACCATTATTGGCAGTAGTAGTCAAATTTATCTAGTAGGATTCGGCGCCAGTTCAGGCTTTATGAAGTCTTCACTGCTGTTTCTCATTCACATGCTGAATGCTGGCTGAATGCAATTTCTCCTTGAAACCTGGGCCAGGCGTGCTATGGCGTTGTCGGGTCGACCATAAGCAGCCAGCGGCACTAGTGGATCTCAGGAAAATTCATTGTCAGGATGATTAGTATTCTTCCGGAACGGAAGCGATTTCATATTTCATACGAAGAATTAGTCCAGGTTCATGTAACAAGACCGATCCGAGCATTCTTTGTAAATTCTGTAAATATAGAAACACTGGTGAGATTGCTGTTCACTTAAGGTGTATGGGCTACAATGCAGTGCTAGGTGCTTAGTCAAGCGCTGCCTTTCTTCACAAGTTTTTATGTGCAACTCACTGAACCGTTCTGGTGATATTTATTCATTTATATGACCGGACATGAGAACATGGAGGTCTTCGGACTTTCGTTGCAGTTTGAGGACCTTATCTTCTTCTTTGTAAATTCTGTCATCGAATGCTGTTTGAGTTCGTTCTCACTGGAGTCTATTATCAGCCCTGCAAGGTCGCTCCTAGTTTTTCACCACAGGCAGTCTCCTCCTTTTTTATATCGGAAGGAGCTTTCCGGGAAACTCTGGTACCAATTTCATTGACCCCGGAGAGATAGAATTGGTCAACCCGAGGCGAGGCCCATCAAGCTACCAACTGTATATCACGAGGCATCTCTAACCACTACACTTCTATTCGACCCATAATGAAAAACAATCGATTTTATCGACCAATTTTAATCTTAGCTTTGTGTACTGTCAAATCTTATCAAGGCACCGATTGCTTAACGTTATAAAACTTTAAGATAACCTATATAGCATTGGTATTTTATGTCGTCACAATGGATGCGCAGTACATAGAAATCAATTTATATTCACATTCAGAACAATAGAAAACAACTAGTCTGAGAAAGACTAAGACATAAAAGAAAAATCAATGATGACCCAGGTGACAACTGAAGAAGAAAGGAAGTGTAATATTCTTTGAAGAAAGGAAACAATTTCGCAAGAAATTGGATACGATAATCAGTGAACTCAAGCATATATGCCAGTAAAATAGTAAAAACAACAGGAAGGATTGAAAGAGAAAATGGTCCTCGCCCAAATTTACAACAGATCATTCTCTATCACCAGTAAAATCAGTAATTAAAAACATTTGTATGGTATCGAACAATACGAACTAGGTCGTGGCAGCGATCGATTAGTAATCAATAAAATATCGATAAGTTTACACATTCCAAGCCCTTAAGTGCTGAGTAAAACGGACAGATGGAACTGGATAAATACTGAAGGGCTATGATCGATTTTCTACGATAAAATCTTGTGCTAAAAAATTCGTCATGAGCGATTGTTTCCAGAAAACTTTGAATTGATTATTAAGACTCATAACTTTCGAGAAAAAGTGTTTGATTTTTTATTTATATATACCAAATGTCGAGTAATTAGTCCAAATACTTTAATAATAATTATATAAAAAGTTGAAGAAAAATAGAGCATACAAAATAGTCACTACGCTTATTACCCTACTGGTCATCACTGTAAATGCCTACTAACTGTGATTGGCTGACGCTGTCATGAACGATATCCATCTCTGGAAGAGCCTGTAACACCGCCATAGGCTGAGTAAGCCATCGTAAGCAATCAGATTCCTAAGATAGAGGTCAGTCCAAAAGTACTGACAATGTTGGACAGTCCATGAATGCACAACGTGATAGAAGGGGTAGGTAAATACGTAAATGTAGGTAAATATGGATCATGCTAGTTGTAACCAATATGGTTTAGGCAACAATAGCCATCGCTGCGGTCTAATCTTTACATGCCCGTTCTTTCTGTTTTAAACTCAAACATAGTAGTTGAAAAGCAGTATAGTGGATTCAGTAATGCATTAGTTATATCAATAACTGTTCAGCAGAGTGATATTCAATTAAGTCGAAAACAAAGGAATCTAGAAAAAAACAAAAATAAGCAAAACAAAAACAGTTAGTCCTTTACTGTACAAGTTTTGTTATCCGTTACTCATTGTTCGGCAAATGGCTGCTCACGCTGGATTCTCTGCATAGAACAGGTGAAGATGGTGTTGGTGAGACTGTAGGTGTGAGAGGAGTTGGTAGAAGAAGGTGTGCAGATGTCGGCACGAAAGCCGACCTTTCACCCAAGGACAGCGGAGGAGCTGAAACGAATAGGTGAATGATGGAGAAATGGCTAGTCTAGTCGCGTAAAAACTGTGAACTTATAGCTTTAATGATGCTAAGATATTTGCCAAGCTCCGGACTGCAGGTGTCTGCGGTGGGGAACGAACGCGCAATTACCCATTCCGTGGGCTACCGCGTTCACCACATGGGTACTTCGCTTCGTCTGTCTCTCGGCTAGTTCTATTGATCAGTGCCATCAGCAATCACCCGTCAACGGGATTGACCTGGGGAGGCCAAATCGGCATTGAACCTAGTTAAGCTGAGGCCATAGCTATAATCACAATCTTGACCTTTTTTATTTACTGCCTATTCTTTTTAATGGCAGGGTATATTGCGAAATATAACTTGTATAAGGATAACAGCAAATAACAAAAATATAAGTTCATAATCTTAACCGTTTTATTTACTGCCTACTTGTACAATGCTGAGATATTTGCAAAACTCCGGGCCGCAGGTGTCTGCGGTGAGGCATTCGTTCCCAACAAATATTTCTCTAAATTTGTGTTAAGCAAACACGAGATGTTACTTTATTCTTTATTACGGTAAAACTGACCTTTCGGCAGTATCGCCTGTTTGAGAGCCTGGAAAAGCACATTGATAAAATAGGGAATCCTACCTAAGCGCCAGCTTTACCGGAATAGAGAATAAAGTAACACCTCACGTTTACTCGAAAAGAATGTAGAGAATTATTTAATCAATGCTGAAACTAATAGAAAGTCGGTCATGGGAATTACTGTGAACTTATTTCTATGAAGCAAATGGTGTGGCGCAGTGGTCCGAGGCGCCCTGCAACACAGACATAAGATCGATCCTCGCGCACATGGCCCACCAAGCCTTCCATGCCTTCGGAGTTGGCAAATTGGTACTAGACTTGTATGGGAGGATAGTAGCACTGACTCGATGCATCGGCAGGCCACCGCGAGTCATTGTAAAGGCCAGATATGCGTTAAGCCACCTCCAAACAATGTTTGAAGAAGTCGAATGCATCCCTTAGAGATTAATCAACGCCGACAGCTTTATCTTTTTTCCTTTTAAATTGTGCAATATGGTTGGTGATCAACAAAAGCAACAAGAAGTAAGTAATGTGTCGATTGTGTAGCGTACAACGCTTAGCCTGAACACAAAGGGATAAAGGATAAAGCTTTCTGAGAAGATCAATCCTTGAACCTTGCGCTGTACATTCCACTTCATAAACCATCGCAGAGATTCTTGATGGCAAATTTCGCCTACGCTTGGAGTGGTCTACCGATGCATCAAGTCAGTGTTTCCATCTTCACAGACATGTCTGACGCCAAATTATTGAACCCGGCACGATGGAAGGTTTGGTCATTATGGGGCACGGAGACAAACCAACGAACGAACCTGTGCATAGTGCATAAGGCAGGGCGCATCTAAACACAGCGATGCATCTGCCTGTGGACTAATAAAGTATGTTAAAAAAGGAAAAAGAATATGAATACGTAGACTCACCGTCAACGTTCCCCGTGATGCTGCTCACTATATGCCGAACATCATTTCTTGGTTGTGGAGATGGTTGGCCGAAATTTGGTGGTAGCGGAGATAGTGATGGCGTTAATGACAGTTGAGCGATCGGCACCGAGATGTCTACTGGTGAACCGTCTGGTCGTACGTGGGTTCGTAGATGACGCGTAATCATATCGCGACGACTCTATAACTCTAAGTGTTGAAAATAGTCTATGGTTAGGCACAACCTCATTACATGCAGAGTTATTGGTTCGATCTCAGACTCTGGACAAGCAGAACCCTGCATTCGTTTGGGAGCATAAAAGCTATGACAAGGCTATGACATTATACATCGGTAGATTCCGAGAGACACCGCATAAGGATAAACGATAAAGGATAGAGCTCCCAACGTTGATCAATCCTTTAGGAATGCGCCATGCATTCGACATCACTAAGGATCGTTAAAGGTCACTGCATAGTTGGCCTATACAGTGACTTGCGGTGGCCTACCGATGTATCGAGTCAGTGCTGCTATTTCAGAGTGGACGTCGTCTGATTCTTCGCTGAGCTCGCTATGAAGGTCGCACCGGCTATATCAGCAGTTTTTAGTTAGCTCCGCTCCTTCTACTGTGATTTCCGTTCCACAAATCGGTTCTTGTCTACGTTTTGAAGGAACTTCTGAGCTTACTTCATCTTATAAGCGTTCTATTTTCTTCTACACATCCTCACATATTTTAGGTGCAAATGCAACGTTCGTGTGTGAAGAAAAGGAACTCGTTCCATTATGAAATCAATTTTAATGAAGTTTTACTTCAACAAAGAATGTTATGATGCTTACCTTGTGGTTTTGATACGTTCTCATTCCATGCTATATGCGGAAGTTTTCATATCGATTGAAAATTAGAAAACAACGAATTGCTTATCAAAATGGTGCTGCACACTGAATGCGATGCCGGTTCTTCGAGACACAGGCATTTCTGCATCCCTTCACCAGTCACACTCTCTATGAGGAAACCCTCTTCAACAGCAATAGTCTCTCGCCGCAAACAGAAATTATTAAGAAGACACCCTTCCGTGGCCTATGCCTTCGACAGCATCTGCGTTGGATAAGTTACCAATTGATTTCGAGGCCCTTAAGAAAACAGTCCTATGGGTTAAAATAAACCACTGAGAAGAATACGAAACCAATAGAGGTCATACCGGTCACAAACTCAACTTCAATATAACACCGATAGAGGTCACTCGTCGCGAGTGTTAAATTACCTCTACGGTGCTTAATGGATTCGAATGCTTTGTGCATCACTGCATACAGGGACGCTTTAACCTTTATCATTAATGCCACATTTTCATAGGTTATGAAATTTTGACGGCAGTATCGAACCGGTCATACTGTTACTGAACGTCGTCATGAAAGCGCTTGAACAAAAAAGTGCATTATGACGTGCTTTAATCTTTGTCAACTCTGAAGACAAAGGTATGGTCGCTTAAGACAGTGCATCTACTGTTTTTCAGGAATGAGACATTTCCAAATACATCAGTTTTGCGAAATTTTTCTGCGCACATCATATTAGCTGCCGAGGAAATCAATCCTTTTTTCTCAAAGAAAAACAGATGAGGAGTGAAAAAGTTACTTACGGCCGCGTATTGGCATAGTGGACACTGGTACGGTTTCTCGCCGGTGTGAGTTCGCTGATGAGTACTGAGGTGATCAGAACGCGAGAAAACCTGTCCACATAATTGGCAACTGTACGGCTTAAGACCAGTGTGCAATCGCATATGTCTGAATAAATATGGTTTTTTTCTTCGAAATACAGAAAAAAACGATTGTAGTACTTTTGTTTTGTGATTTCGACTTCAGCCTCAGCTTAACTAGGTCCGCTGCCGATTTGGGCTCCCTAGATCAGTCCCATTGACGGATGATTGCTAATGGCGCCGATCAATAGAACTAGCTGAGTGACAGGCGAAACGAAGGACCCGCATGGTGTGGTGGTGAACGCGTTACTCCCCGGAAAGGACAATAGCGCGTTCGTTCCCCACCGCAGACACCTGCGGTCCGGAGTTTTGCAGATATCTCAGCACCATCTTGATTGTAGTGTTTGTTTTCTTGTAATCAGGCCGGTCGCAGTTAAGCACGCCTCTTTTCCCAAGGACCAATAGCAACGCAGAAACGCTAGCTTGGACAAAATTGTCTACTAACACGATTTAACACCATAGCATCGCTAACTAGCGCGTGAAGTAGTAACCGACGATAACAGTAAAGCAACATTAAGAAGTAAAATAATAAATGTTTCATTCGTACAAACCTCGTTAGCATATCACTTCGTCCAAAGCTCTTGTTACAAACGTTGCATTTGTGCGATTTCGCGCCATCACCATCAGCGATCGCTGATGCAGACCTAGAATAAATGATAATGAGGAAACACTTGTTCATACTACCAGTGTGATATAATATTATTAGGAATAATAACTGATGAGCGTATTGAACTGGACCATCAGCCGAAACCAGCTCACATTCTTTCGTTGGAAATCTGTTAGTAAATCAAGCAAAGTCAACGCCAACCCTACATTACATCGTTCATGGTTCCTTAGATTTTAATAGATTAATCAGTGAAGAGGCGGATAGCATAGTAGTAGTGACGCCCGTCATCACGAGCATGGCGCTAGTTCGATTCTGCTCCTGGTCAACCAAGCCTTTCATCCCTCCGGGATCGGGAAATCGGTACCGGACTAGTCTGCGAGAAAAATCCCTCTCTGCAATTAAATTGGAAACGCTACAACCAGGCTATCTCAGGGCTCCAAGGATAATTGTTCGACCAGAATTTAAGACATTCAAGATGAAATGAAAATCCTTAAGCAGCAGCAACCGAAGTCACACGTAAAGTTGGAAGATCTTCGTGGATAATTCACGCGAGGAAACGAATTGAATGTGAGAAGTGCTGGGATCCGCACTATAGACGGGAATACGTGGGTCGAATAAAATAAAAAAATAAAATAGAAAATAACCAGTGAAGGGAAATTACATTTAACCTCAGTTGGTTGTAAAATGGGACATAAACTTGGCAGAAATTCTTGCAAAAGTTTAGCAACGTTAAGAATTCTCACTGATTTCTAACAGTACTACTGAGAGAAAGTGAGTGTTGTCAGCAATAGCTGTTGGTGCCGATGCAGCAATAGTAAGGGCAAGTAGTAGTGACGAAAAGATCATTACATTAGAATATTTTAATCAACTTACCGATCACGATGACGTGACGCAATGTGTTTTGCTAATCGGTCATGAAGTGCAAATCCCTAAAAATCATCAAAATTAGTCAACTCTGATATTCACAACTTGAGCGAAGATTGAAAAGGTCATGTAGTGAAAATAGAGTAGACTAATAAACCATAAACCAACACCAAGAACTGCTATCATCCTCGAACAAATCTGTTACTATACTCTTACCTGGCCACATATGGTACACGTGAATGGTCCGATCGTAAGAGTACGGCCGACGTCTGATTCGGAACGACTCCGTCGCCATAACGTTGTAGCTTTCAACGGTCCCGCACCACTAAGACCCGTGTCAACGTCCATTGTGCTTTGTCGTAGTAATGGACCCCGTGATAAGTGATCATTGGGCGGTGCGAGAAGTTGTGGGTTCGGCAACTGAAACTTTCGTTGGCTCAGATTGGTCATCCGCTGTTTTGAGTTTTCTTTTCAAATTAAAAAAATTGTTTAGAAGAACAAATTCCTCGATGAGGGTAGGTATCTCAGTATTAGAAATTGGTGGCGGAAAACGGAATGAAAAAAATGAAGAAATCAACGAGAAAACACAAGAAAAGGTTTTGCAAGCTGAGTTGGAGTTCTCGCGACGATCGCTGGACACAACCATGATGATACTGAGATATTTGCAAAACTTGGACCCTAGGTGAACCTGCGGTTACCATTCCCGGGGCTCACGTACACCGATTGTACCACTGAGGTTCTTGCCTTGCCGTTCGCCTAGCCAATCCTGATAAATTGTCTTTGGCAAAAAATTACTTAATAGTGGCTTGTCCACTCATCACATCTAAAGGTGTATCTGGGTGTTGAACTGATACGATGTGCATCAGAGGTTCAACCCTCATCAGTGTCACCAAAACCGAGAATGAGTTAGATGATTCCATTTTGATACCCTGCTAACAGAAATTACTAATTTGCGAGCCAGCAGTGGCTAAATTTTAGCGAAAAACAGTGCTAGAAAAGTCTTTTGAAAAGAACGATTGATGACTAGAAACGTATACCTGAAGGAGTCTATTATTTACTGCATTATTGTACATATTCACTGCTTGCAAAGCGACAATTTGTCGTTCCATCCACATCTGGATTTGATCAGGATCTCCAATTGCTCGTCTCATAGCACTTTCCAGCTGCAGTGGTTTTTTTCAAAGAGATAATTTGTTTTAAGATTTTACATTCATTTTTAAAACCCCCAAGGCGCTTCGGCCGTTGTTCTTCAAAGTGAAACACCTCAACAGGATTTGTAATTTTCTGGCTCTTCAAAAGAATTCCAAACGCTGTAACTTTGATCAGGGCAGAATTCAATGAGAACGTTTAGCATTCCTCACGTTTTCATTGATAGCACCGTCATTTGTTGGTGATGGAGGCGGTTCTTCTATAGTCGGTTGCCGTGACGCCAGTCTGCTGACACTACGAAGATCCGAGTCATCGATTTCAGATTCCTGAAAAACTATATTCCTTTAGAAAAATCGTAAACACTTCATCAAATGATACAGATGATACCGTATATATTATATTCCCTGCATTTTTTTCTTCACAGTACAAAGCATAAACAGTTACAATCACTTGGCATGATGAGCATCAACGTACTTCTACACTACTATATGCTTTCTTCTTTTCTTTGCTCATATGTTGACAAATATGTTCTAAATTTTCGCCCTGCTTATAAAAGAAAGATGTTTAACTCTTTTGTGGCCACTTGTAGAGTAGTGGCCAGAGATGCTCTACAATAAGCACGCGCTCATTAGCTCGATTTCGCGACTTGGACAAACTGTCTTCCATCTTACCGCAGTGGGCATATTTGTACGAGCCTTCCGCGTTATAATGAAAATACTAACTTCATACAATCTTAAGACCCCACAAGTTATTTATATACCAGATATGTAATCAGTCATTTCCAGGGTTTTTAACGGAGTCGAAATGGGATGAAGACTGCATTGGACATCGCTGAGGAATGAATCAATGCCAAGCACTTTATCCCCTATCCTAATACCATGTTATCGACTTTATCAGATGTTGGTAGATTGGTGTTTCGTTTTATTTCTTCAGATTGCCAAAAAATGCAACACATGGGACATCACGGCCGAAGATGAACATACAGTAGCACTATGAGGTGGACTGCTGCTACTACGTTGTTTTGATGCTAATCGCTCTTCTTGCTCTTCTTGATACTTCTGTAGAAGACGTTTTTTGTACTGACCAGTTGACGAGAGTCGTCTAAGTGTCGTAACTGGTACCTAAACCTTGACTAAAGAGATGGAAAGAAGTCACGAAATGTTTGTGGTGATTTTTGAACTTTTATGACTCGTCCAACAACAGTATCGTTTAGACTACGAAATTTAAGGATTTCAATCAAACAATGACATTATGTGCACACACCGAAATCGTAGACTGTATAGAAGTATCCATAATTTCGTCTTTCGGCGACATATCGCTATCCGATCGGCTTCGTTCTCTGAAGAGTAGCCATTTTTTGTCTGAATAGTCCGGATAGAAGCGATTACAGTAAGTCACAATGGTTGGTTAGGAAAACGCTAATACGATAGTGGTGCGAGGGTATCTACCTACCGTGATTCTGAACCCAACGAATGCGACTCGGGCACCATGAGATGACGACCAGACATCGAACTACTGCTTCGTATTTGATCGAAGCTAAATTACTAGCAAAATTCTCAGGGCCAACTTTCTATTAACCTCGACACTGATTAATAATTCAGAGTTCTTTTGATGCGTAAACACGAGGTTGTCATTATGCTGCTTGTTCGCAAAATCTGTCATTTTGGTGGATTTCGTTTCCTTCCAACAGAAAAATTTCGATACCAAGATTCCAATCGTGTTGAAAAGGAAACAGCTTCCTCAAATATTCACGGTTTCCAATGACTCTTCCACTAAGAATTTCACATGAAGACTAACTCACAGAGTTCACAGTGGTAGGTAGTGCTCTCTCTCATTAAAATATCAGTTTGAGATATCGAATGAGATCACGCGTGATAACGAAGCATTCCTCTTTGCGGTTCATTTTTGGATGCTAGGAATATATCCGTAATGCTTTGAGGGTATTGTTCGCTGCTGTTTTAGATTGCTACACGACGATGATGATGGTGGAGAAGTGCAGGACAAGGGATGCTGTATTTAGAGTGCGATAGAAATTTAAGCTTCATGGTTCTTCTGTTGAGGTCATAAAGGTACTTAGTTGACTACATTGCTTTTGCTTTTGCAGGCTCTGTGGAAAAAAGGTCCGCTAAAACGTCGGTTTTGTGGATAAATAAATAGTATAGTATATGGTGGCAACCTTGTGCTTGCCCATCAAGACAGCAGTGAATTACGAGCGAAATTACCATCAAAACTTGACGTATTATATTATAGGATATTATATGCTCCAGTGTGACCTAATTCTATGTAGTGCAAAATCCGTAATAAATAAGTTTACAAGCTTTTTTCAGGGTTACTCACATTTTCAATAATAGTGTCTCCTACCTGAAGTGATTGAAGCTTTTTGTCAATGGATTAGGAGATAAGTTCGGTGATCGGGCGTACGCCGAATATGGTGTTTCGTTATCTTCACAATCAGAAAACGGTGAAAACGGAGCCGGCGAGAACATCATTCCTGGTGACAGCAAATCCTTACGAGACACATCTGATGCCCCGTCATCGAGGTCGAAACTGAATCGATAAGAAAATAAAGCACAGGGACGACAGCTCACCTGAATACCATACACACCAACACACACCGACACACACACATATATCCATACACACACACAAACGTGTGCACACACATACATACAAAATACATACATACATATATACATTCATACACACACATACATACATACATACACACCTATTTTTATGATTATCACGGAAAGTAGTCCACGGTGCCAGATTCGCAGATGGAACGCTTATCGATGAACGCGGACTCGATCCAAGATCCGATGTTGCGTATGGCGGCATCGGCATCAACTTCCCATAGTCGTAACCGGAGTTCAGCTATAATACCGCGTATAAAAATCGGTAATTTTTCCAACTAAGAAGGAAAAAGATGGAATGAAAACAGGCACCAAATTAATGCGATGCATAGTATCTTCGGTCAGTGGAAGCGGTCTTCTAAGGCGAGGTGACGTTGGTGATGACGGTGCTGACGGACCTTGTTCGCGAATCAACGGTGGTGACTAAAATACGGAAACTTTGTGAAATCAGTAAACGCTTAACTCAGAATTATCGATTAACTGAAGTGCTACGGCAGAAATCAGGAACCTGTAATAAGCACGACCATAGCGAAAACCCTCTTCTACACATTATAGTCAACAGCAGTTTTTGAAACCCACTCTGTATTCGGACAGTAGTTAACAGCTTCATCTAAGTATTAGGTGGAAATAATGGTTAGGGGGAATTTGTGGGGGTAAACCTGCGATGTAAAGCATCCGTTCATTACGCATCAGGTCATACAAGCTAAAAATGAGTTTAATATTCCCATCCGGAGAAACGTGGTTAAGAATAATTCCTATCTACGGAACGGTAAAGAGCAACGAGCTATTTATGGTTGTGGTAAAGGAGAAAAGGATAAAGTTCTCGACGCTGATCAATCCCTGAGGGATGTGTTATGCATTCAACTTCATTAAGCATCTTTTAGAGATGATTGAATGCATATCTGGCCTTTACAATGGTCGCAGTGGTCCACCGATATATCGAGCCAGTGCTGCTATCCTTTCAGACAAGTTTGGTACCAATTTACCGACCCCGAAGAGATGGAAAGCATGGTGGGCCATGGGCACGGGGATAGATTCCAGGTGTGTTGTAGGCATGATTGTAGTATAGCCAAAAAGAAACAAGAAAAAATGAAAGACATCCTATAAAAAGTGTGTTATTGTACGTTTCCCTAGGTGAGCAAAGCCGACCAGGCAGCCATGGCTGGTGGTAGCAGGCACCGGAGAGTTTTCTGCTGCTCACTGGAGTTATCTGATGATTAATGAGGCCAAAGGTGATGCAAACGGTTTTTACGCCACTTTGGCTTTTAATGATTGTTGTACTTTTGCAGCATCGCAAAAAATTTCCGCAATTCTTGGTCAGTTTTCTTAGTTTCACAAGAGAAATTTTTTTGTCTAGTGCTCCATCATAATTCAAAAATAAGGCCATCAAAGAGAATTCGTCAGTTTCTGCGTATTTCCGATCTTTCTCTCATCACGATTAAGGACTGAGAACAAAAAAACAACTGAACTGTCGAAACTGAGTCACACCATGGAACCCTAAGGGAGCTAATCGATGACTGTGCCCAGATAGAGTCGTAGGATGGGAAAAAGTCGATTACAATCCCGAATCGTTGCCGGTAGGGTTAAATGGTGATCGTTTGAAAAAAAAACACGCACACTCACAGAGTAATATTTGTGATGAAATGACGATAACCCAGTGAAATGGTTAGCGTTAACGAACTTCACGAATTATTATATTTGACGACTATCTTCTAAATGAATGAGTACACAAGCAAGTGCAGAAATGAAAATAAAAAAATAGCTATGCAACAAAAGTGGTTTCAGGTTTGGAAACGAAAATTTGTGGAAGTAAGTCATTCTGAAGAACTTTCCGACCAGCAAGAATAGCTTTTTTGCGTTAAATTTCCTTAAAATCTTTGTTTTCCTTTTGTCTTTCTGTTAGACTCCTATGCTTAAAACTTACTGATTTTTTCCTCTAGGCCGATAAATCTAATTGAGCATTGCTTTGACCCTGTATGATTTTTTATTTTATTTTATCTTATTTTATTCGATCCGTCTTCACGCCTACTGTGCGGATCCCAGCACTTCTCAAATCCAACTTTGCTCGCATTCATCGCCCATGAAGGTCTTCCAAGTTTTTACGTATGGCTTCGGCTGCTGCATGAGCATTTTCATTTCATCTTGAATGTCGTAGAATGCTGCTCGAGTAATTCTCCCTGCAGTCTTGAGATAGCCGGGCTGGAGCTTCCCAGTTCTATTGCAAACAGTGATCTTCTTCCAGAGAAGTCTGGTACCAATTCCCCGACCCCCAAGGGATGAGAGGCTTGGTTGGTCCGGAGGGAAATCGAACTAGCACCGTGCTCGTAATGACAGACATCACTACCACTGTGCTATTCGCCCCATGATTCTGTGTGATAATGATATTATTTGTTAATTATTCCATGGAAATACCATCCAACGCTCTCAGCCCATCTAATAGGTTTAGTTCACCCTATTATTGCACTTTATTTACAAAGAAATGAGTCAGATCAGTAGCGATCAGAGATGCCATGCAATAGACCACGAATCGTCGCTGGTTTGATCCAGAACCGGACCAACCAAGCCTCTCATCATTTCGGAATAATCAAATGATACCAGACCTATCTCAAAAAAGCGCTCTGGGATCTCAGAAGGCCGTTCGGCGGCAGTCCGTGGCAAAAACTTGGAAAGTTTACTAGAGCTCTCTAGGGAATTTCAACTCGAGCGGAATTCAAAGCCGTTCGTGAGAAAGACAAAGCTCCGGAGTGGTGGACGAACTCTTATGCAACTCCGAAACCTTCATTGATGACAGCTGTGATAGAATGAAGTCTACTCGTAAAAATTAATAGAAAATTTTAGAGGAAATAATATTCAAAACAAGTAACTATCACCTTTAAAAAAGTGAAAACTAAAAGAAAATGAGACAGTGAGAAATAGAAAAGAGAGGGAGACAGAAACAGAAGAGGAGAGAGTGGAAATATAGGCGGAACGAAAATCATCAGTGTAATGTGCTGCTGGTGAGAATAACTGAAAAAAATGAATGGAAAGCAGTACTGGAAATCGTCGACATCAATGTTGACACCTAATGACATCACTATGTTGTACAAAAAAAGTATGTTGGTGAGTCATTTGCATTGATGCATGTAAACTATGGCTATTGATCAGTCGTGCCAAAGTGTATGAACGAATTCATTGAGAGATTTTGCATGTGTGACCAGATCTGCTCTCATTGAACTTCCGAAAACATCACCAATGTGGATGATTAAATGAACTGGAAGAGGATAACCAGTCGAGAAAAACAATCAGAAGAAGGTTCAGCTCAATAAGCCAGAAAAACATGCTAGAGATCAACATGCTCACGCAGATTTGCGTTACTACGATCGCTAATCAATCAGAGTCAGGTGAGGAACATTGCGTACTGAATAAGTCATGAACAGGATCCAGACGGTATAACGAACGAAATCACACAAACTACGACGGCATGAGTTGAGTCGGCGATGAGAAATGAGGAGCAGAACGAGTGGACGAAGAGGTTTAGCAGCCCTGCTCGACACTACCAGCTGACGCCGCCCGATTGCCAGCGATCGCCGCCATTGAAAGGAAAAACCGCAAAGGAAAGAAAGAACCGGAGCTGGTTAAAGTTATAAAGAAACGGTATATAAAAATGAAGTCAATCAGTATGAATGGTAATCAGGATACAGCAGCGTAAACTACACTACCAATAGCATAAACTAGGGAAGCACTTTTCTATGGAAAAATCTCGGACCTGTATAGCGCTGTAACCCACCTGCTACCAATGCCATTAATAAATTTTATGGCCGATTCATCTCCAGGCTTCTCTTCCCTACAGTTTACCGATTCACTCGATCAGTGGAGTAACATAGAAACTTCGAGTACATCAAATCCTAATCAGATATCACTGTCACTGTCAAGGAATCAGCCATGCAGTAAACAAGGAGTGTTGAAAGCCGAGTCGCAACAAAATCAGTGACCATTGACATGTGAGCTACGCCACACTTCTCAGAACCATTCCCACTTCAATTTTTTTTCTAAATAACGCCTTAGAATGAATTGTACACATTGAAGGAAAGTGTGCTTCACGTTAACTACAAATCGATCACACCATTATTACCATGACATCACAATGTAGATAACTTACTGACTTCTTAAACTTTAATATTATAAAAAAAGCACAAATTAAGCCAAACAAGAAGAAGAGGTTTCCACAATAAATCTTAGTTTTTCTAAAAAAACAGCAATATAGATATTCCTTCTTGAATTAAACTTACATTCATCAATTTCCTTCGCACGTCGAAACGCGTTGAATCGTTGGCGATGACCAACACCGGCGGTCGGTTCACCAACGATGGACCGGGTACCGCAGCGGTCACTGAAAATATACGATTGCCCTCCAACTTATGTTTTTTTCCTTTTTGAATTAAGTATTCGACTTCGTTACATTTAACTTTTACCATCAATAACATTCGTCATCTGTCAGCTGTGGCTTCATTAATTACCGAAAAACACGACCTGTACTCAATTTGTCTTTGCCGAGCACCAGAATACCACAAAGGACCCGAACAACGCTACACTTCAAGTGAGTCCTTTAGTTGATTTCCGGCGAAAAGAACTATAAGAAGTTCTTTGAACTAAGTCGTAGCACTGGTGTGCTTTGGTTCCATTAATTATTGAGAAACTGGACTCTTATAATCTTAACACTTTTATTTACTGCCTTTTTCTTCTTAATGGCAGGGTATGTTGTGAAATATAACTCGTATGAAGTGCTGAGATATTTGCAAAACTCCGGACCACAGGTGTATGCAGTGGGGAACGAACACGCGCTGTTGTCCTTACCGGGGAGCAGCGCACTTCACCACTACACCATCCGGGTCTCTTACTCTTATACTCAATTTTTCCTTACTGAGCACCAAAATACTACAAAGAACCAGAACAGCATTACACTTCAGGTGAGACTAACATTATTTCGGTTATTTTAGTTCATTTCCAAAAAAATTAGCACAAAAAATCCATGGACTATTTTGTAGCGATGATGTACTTCCAGCTGGGATTCCGCTTTGAAGTGCCGAACTGCTTTGTATGGGAGATGGTGTTGGAGGATAAAATCCTATTGTATGCCGCAAAATTTCAACATCCCAAAAAAATATGAAATACGATGACACGGTAGATCTAGAGGAAAACTTATAATGATAATCGGGGACACGCGGAGTAGTGGTAGTGGTAGTAACGATTTCCGTTGATTACAACTAAGCCACCGGCTCGACTCCACACCAGATACACCAACCTCACATCCCTTCAGCGTCGCAAAACTGGTACCAGGCTTGCCTAACACAAAGTTAATGCCTTCAACCCAAGTGGAAATGCACGAATTTCTCGGCATTTCGGGTTAATTAACTGGAACAGCATTCAAGGTCATTTTTAAGAAAGACGAAAGTCGAAAAAAGCAACAGAATCAACATGCGAAAGTTCGAAAACCTTCGTGGATGATAGGCGAAGAAAAATTAGCTGAATTGATAAAGTGATGTAACGTTGGACAATGTAAACTAATGATATTAATGATTATAATTGGGCACGAAAAGCGGAGTGATTAGAAGCGCCATGCTATTACGCATAGTCGTTACTTGGACCACGCTCGGAGCAACTATAGCGACTATTTCCAGAATAATCTTAACCCTTTTATTTACTGCCTTTTTCTTTTTAATGGCAGGGTATGTTGTGGAATATAACTCGTATATAATGCTGAGATATTTGCAAAACTCCGGACCGCAGGTGTATGCGGTGGGGAACGAACACGCATAAAGAGGCGTGTTACAGAGGCGTTTTAAGAAAAAGGGTTAAGATTGTGATAATAACTAAGCCTCAGCTTAACTGGGTTCAATGCCGATTTGGGCTCCCCAGATCAATCCCGTTGACGGGTGATTGCTGATGGCAAAAGATCGATAGAACTAGCCTGAGAGACAGGCGGAACGAAGGACCTGCATGATGTGGTGGTGAAGTGCGCTGCTTCCCGGTAAGGACAACAGCGGGTGTTCGCTCCCCAGCGCATACACCTGCGGTTCAGACTTTTGCAAATATCTTAGCATTATATACGAGTTATTCCCAGAATAGTTTCTACTTCTTTCTATATATATTTGTATCTTTCTACTACTGTATGTTTCAGTATTAAGGATCATACCCACTGTATCTCAAGTTGCCTAGCAAATGTCGTAATACGTAAATATTTCGATCCCATCCTTTGAAACTTCGATCGCTGTAAACAGTCGTGTTATGCAAACCTATTTTTGCAATCTGAACTCATTGTTTGTTATTACTGTCCAAAAGCCATCATGCGTACAATAACAAGAAGGGCATGAAGATGTTTGCGAGAGCAGTCTTCCGCCAGATGATATGTGGTTTTGAGAGGATATGGAGACGGTAGCCGACGAATGCTTTCGGTAAAGATGCTAGACCTGTGCCAAATACCGCCTTCTCCAGAAGCATATAAACAGCCTCGTTAATTGCCATCGAGGTTCGTCGACTATCCAAGTTCACCCGTGTCGGGGTTCGCCGGCTCTTTAGATCCGTACCGTGTTGACCTCGTGTGTCACCAATGTAGGCTATCGTAGTTGTTTAGTCATGCTGCACGTAGTCATTACTGTACATTAACTTCATTTCATCATATCATTGTTAAATGACAGTTGCGAATTGTACATTAGTTTAGCATCACCGTCACTACGTCACGCTTTCCATCAGTCCAGTGTATCCTTATCATCATCATCATCCTCATCCTCGTGTCAATGTTCACTGTTTATCAATTAGTCTGCGGTGTGTTGTCAGTAGCGGCGGCTATCCTTAAATGCGTTCGGTGTGAGACGCCATCGGTAGCATGTACCACCCAACCCACACGGTACGCCACGCGTACAAGGCCACTAGCTGGCCAACTTATGTTGTGTATTTGTTAAGCCGCTATAGGCTTAACATTTCACGGTCGTTATCTTTCTGGCCTATAATCTCTTAGGCAATGGTGGCACCTATCGATGCTCAAACTTCACGTTGCAGACATACCAAGACGTTATCCAAAAGCAGCCGCCTGACCGTGTTCCGCAGATATCTCATCTCGTTCGTAGTCACTTCCACCATCGATGCTTAGGTAACTTGTTATCCTCATCGATTAATGTGCAAGTGCACCCAGCCGCTCTACATACGATCACTAGCTTAACCTAATGCAGGGCTCTTCTGCATCTCACTCGTCTGTTGTTCTAACCCTCGGCATCTGGTCTACTGTACGCGCCAGTGCGGGCGCCATCGTTCGTACCCCTTACTTGTCATTGTTATCAAGTTGTTGTTATCATATTACTAATGTTGTAATAGTACTATTTACAATACTCTTATGCCCTCGTAAGCCTCACTTTAGTAGCAGGTACAGCACAGCTTTGAACTTGCCTTATTTGTGTGCCAGTAGTTCCCTATCGATATTAGTCTTGTATTGACGTTGCATTTATGTGTATAAACGGGGTGATTACCCAAGTTTAAGGTATTGGTTTGTGACAACTACGAAAAGTTCCGCGTGGCACTTTTTTCATGAAGTCGAGCATTCTACTAAAAGCTAGTGATTAATCGGTGCCGAGAACCGACTCGTAGGCCTATTTTCGACTAGCAACTTCAATAGCAGCCAAGTCAACGATTGCTGGCTTATCAATGGAGGAATACGCGCTGATGATCCGTACTGAGTTATCAAAATGGTCCCGGATTTGTCTGAGATGCCGATTGCGACTCGTGGGGTCCAAAGACTTCCTCTGGTGTAGACCTAAGAACATTCTAGCAGTGCCGTCTCACGATTCTAAGAGAATCAATTTGATCAGCATTCGAAAACATTCATGAAAAAAGAGATCCTAAATTAGCAATGGAATTTGCACGTAATTTAAATGATACACATAAAGAGTAGGCTTATTTCGCCGTCTCAGGCTTACGAGTGAAAGGAATTGCTTTCACCATAGGAATCGTTGTTGTCCTTGAAGACCCACAACCATAAAGCGACGGGAACGGGTGACTGCCTATGACGAATACATTAGAACATCTTAGCGGAGATTTTGGTAAATCTCGCACACAAACATCATTGTTCTAGTGAGAAAGGAAATCCACAAATTCTCATAGCGTAGCTTAACCCACACGTAAACCTCATTGCATCGTTCGATGAGACTTGGTCAGGAAACGAAGGAAAAGACGAAAAAGTATCAAATAAGTTAACAAGTAAATAAAAACTGGACTATGCTGAGAAAAATCCTGGTGGACGGGGTTTTCTTACCACATGTTTCTTAACGAGATGATGACTTACCATGGCAACTCTCTTCGGTTTCGTAGTTGCTCATGATTTTGTTGGCCGATGTAACGCTAGTTAAACTAGTACTAGGTGCAGTTCGTGCTGAAAATCCCTAAAGGCCACTCTTATCTGAAAGAATAATCAAAGAAAAAAACCGACAAAAAAAAGAAGAGATATACGATAGAACATAACTACAGCCCAACAATAGTCGAACAATATGAAAGGAAACAGAAAGACGGAAAACGGGTAGGACAAAATCCGAGAGAAATTGCGAGTGATGCTGACTAATTCATGAAACAGAAGTGACACAGAATAATAACAAAATCATAACATTACCTAAATACAACCACAATGTTGCTGAGATATTTGCAAAACTCTGGACCGCAGGTGTCTATGGTGGGGAACGAACGCGCTATTATCCTTTCCGGGGAGTAACGCGTTCACCACCACACCATGCGGGTCCTTTGTTTCGCACGTCTCTCAGCTATTTCTATCGATCTTTTTTTTGCCACAGCAATCACCCGTCAGCGGGGTTGATCTGGGGAGCGCAAATCGGCATAGAACCCAGTTAAGCTATGGCTGTAGTTGAAATCATAATGTTTTAACGTTTTGTTTTCTGCCTTCTATAATTTTCATGGCAGGTTACTAAGCGAAATACAACCACAATGTTGCTGAGATATTTGCAAAACTCTGGACCGCAGGTGTCTATGGTGGGGAACGAACGCGCTATTATCCTTTCCGGGGAGTAACGCGTTCACCACCACACCATGCGGGTCCTTTGTTTCGCACGTCTCTCAGCCACCATAGACACCTGCGGTCCAGAGTTTTGCAAATATCTCAGCAACATTGTGGTTGTATTTCGCTTAGTAACCTGCCATGAAAATTATAGAAGGCAGAAAACAAAACGTTAAAACATTATGATTTCAACTACAGCCATAGCTTAACTGGGTTCTATGCCGATTTGCGCTCCCCAGATCAACCCCGCTGACGGGTGATTGCTGTGGCAAAAAAAAGATCGATAGAAATAGCTGAGAGACGTGTGAAACAAAGGACCCGCATGGTGTGGTGGTGAACGCGTTACTCCCCGGAAAGGATAATAGCGCGTTCGTTCCCCACCATAGACACCTGCGGTCCAGAGTTTTGCAAATATCTCAGCAA